AATACTGTCTACGTCTGTAGATTATATAACAGAGAGTATTTTGAGAAAATTTCAAACGAATCGGATGAAAATTGTAACAGTTACGGATAACACCGTCTAAAATTTCGATTCCTGATTGACGCGCTTCGTTAAATCATCTCCAGTGGCATAAAACCATGAATATTTTTCGTTAAATCTGTTTAGTTCACATTTAGAAAAAAACATAAACTATCCGTTTAAGCAAAAGAAAGAAAACTGAAATTTTTTCAAAACTCAGGAAGAGCCTAACCCTTTAAGTGACGATAGTGAATAAATCGGCTTATCGAGGATGGATCGGTAGATGAGGGCGTCCTGAAGCAATCGAAAAAAAGCTGAACGTTCGCGAGCCTTATCTCAACGAATGGATCTTACGCGCGCGAAGTTCATTTAAGAAGAATAATTATATCGTGACTAGAAAACTCGAAATCAGTCGTGACCACGACAGCTACCTCTTAAATCATACGATGTGTGAAGTTCGTTATCGTACGTGACGATCGCATGCCGATAAAATTTGCAAGAATTAATGATCCCTGGGTTCACCTCCATCGAATGTCTTCGCGTACTGGTACACAGGCCTGGAAGTTAATTTTGTGCTTCCTTATGAGGCGCACGCGGAAGAAACGATCATTATTGGACGAATAATCTTTCACGTCGTTAAGATAGCTATATGTCATTATTCGTCGATACGACTTAGCGATTGAAACTACGCCAGCGGTTTATTTTTCGCGGATATACCTCTTCTTCTTACGATGCATAGCACAAGGAAGTAATGAGTGAGAATGTACTACATTTAAAATTTATGGTCTCTCCAAGTGCTCTTTGAATATCACAGTAGTTTCTTCCGTTCGTATTTCTTGATGGATACTCGCTACTTTTTAACATTATGTATACAGGGTGGGCCACGTAAGATAAGTGAATAAGATGGAAGAAACATTTTTCTGATGGCAGAAATGGCAAAAATCGAACGGAAGTTTCACGTTTGATTTGAAATTTTAGAATCAGAGGTTATCTTAGGGTCGTATTATTATGCGTAGAACAGAAAAATTGCCATTTATTAAAAAATAATTTTTTTCACGTCATTCACCCTTCGAAGCCATTTAAATTACGTGTAAAAATAGTCTCGCGTCGCGTGGCCCACCCTGTACATTCGAAAGCGAGAAAAATGCAGGTAAACGCTGAGAAGTTGGAAAGCGTCTCTGTATAGATTTCCCGATAAATGTTGAGATTCTGATAAATTGATATTCAATAAGTGGGTAGGTTTTAATGGAGTCTAATCTATCAATCTTCGGAGGCAACATATTGAAGCTACTTAAGTCGTTTGATATCCTCAATTTACCTGAAACCCAGCTAACGTTTCTAACTTTCTTGAAATAGATTTAGCACATCGGATACATTGTGCATTCAATTTATCCGACATGTTTAAGTCCGTCTAACATTCTTCAGATACCTAGTTCTGTCGAACAAATTGTATCCCTTCTTCATCAACGTGATCTCGGAGCTAATTTTACGCTTCCTTATGGCGTACACGCGGATGGAATGATCATTACAGAGAAAACGATTTCTCATATCATGTTAAGACAGTCGCGCGTCATCATTCTTGATGGCCAGACTGGTACAGTCCTGAGCTTTTATTTTCAACTAGATTTCCATCTTATCTACGGTATATATAAGAGTGTATATATCAAGCGATCGATAACTATAATTGAAATCCGCAATTCACTAAGGATTTGATTATACCTCGCGTCTTTAATCAATTATTACAGTAAAGCTTCGATAGTACTTCGATTGTCGCGTCATGCATAGTTTGTACTACTTGATTAACTGGAAAATTCAATTAATGTCCGTTATACCGGGTGGAATTTTTCTCTATGATTAATACGTTACGAAATAGAAAGGAATTAATGATATTTAGTGAAAAATGAATATTTTCAAGGGATGCAATTTCTGCTAATAAATTAAACCTTGCAGGGGAATATATCGAAGTGATAATCACCGATATTGATGAAACTTCACGTATTTTTCTATGTCGTCAATCGTCCACATTGAAGGGGTGAAAATTGTCCTCGAAGATGAAGATAATAAACGTTAATTTTTATTTTTTAAATTTGTTGCTGAAAAATACAGAATTCCTCAATTTACATGATTCCTCTATCTCTAATAATTCTCGAGATATTCGACTGAATATATTTACTATCCACAATTTTAAGGGCTATTTTCACCCCTTCACTGTGCACCATTGCCAGTATAAAAAAAATACGCGTGGCATATTTTTTTCAGAACTGCTCTATATCAAAGTTTCATCAAAATTGATGATTATCGCTTCAGTATGTTTCCTTGTTGGAACTTGACGGCGGTGGTGTGTGTTCGCGGAATTAATTTATTCTTTGTAATTTGTTAACGCGTCACTTAGCACGATTATCACTTAGTACATCAGGGGATTCTGTATTTTGAGCGTGAAATTACACTTGGCTGATGATTCAGCGATATTGTGACACCTTAACATGAACGCACGAATGTCTGAATCGTTGTTACATCGATAATGTCATCCATCTCGTAGTGGGCGTGGTACGATCATTGATCAACGTCTTGGTGTACCTACATCGAAGCATATCGGCTACTTTCCTTTTTCCTTCTGCGAAATCTATTTCTGTCTGTAGTTTATTTACGCTTTAACACTTTGTAAATATACACGGGATGTGTAACAAATATCTCGTGTAAATTTATTTTCCGTGAGTGTTTAATATCCTCGAACACCGATAAATTTCTTCCAAAGAGAATTATCGCCGATTTGCATAAAACGGAAAATTTCAACGTTCCACCAAATTATACAATTTTCGCCGGAGAATTTTGTCAAACAAAAGTTCACTATAATCAGTGAGGGGACAAAAGGGATTTTTACAATCCTCGTTTCTTATCCCTCTCTTCTGTGGAAGCTGAGATCAAAATGGAAATATCTCTGGGGTATGTAACAAGTGATATTGCGTTAACTCGTAAGTGAAACACATGGGTCAGGATATCCCCGGGGATTTTTTTACACCGTTACTACTTTACGAGTGGCTTTACACGTTCTTTGCCCACCTATCTAATTCTGTTTCAAATTGTATCGACAAATTTTATTTTTTTATCGTTCATATTAATTCGCCACGATATTGTTAGGTTACCCTGAAAGCTCTAACGGCTTTAAAGCGTTCATTTTAGAAAAAACGTGATTATTGAAATTAAACATTTTTATTGAAAATAATTTCTGTACCCTAGGACAGGGTACCACCTATGTATTATTGCAGAATCGTAAAAAAATGAAAGGTACATCAACCAGTCTTGGTCAACAGAAAGTACCTTATCCTTTTGTATGACAACTGTACAAAAATGACACCAACTGAGTATTTAAGTTTTCCCTCGTCCCCCAAATTTCCCTGATTTATCACCGACTGATTTTCTTGAACTTGACAGTTTCCTTGCACACAAACGATATAAAAAACAGGAGAATTTTGAAAATTCCTTTCAGAAGTATCTTTCTCTTCGAGATTCGGATTTTTATATACCCACAGTTAACTCTTTGCGGTCGCATTTTCCGCAGGCATGGTAGTCTTATTGGTTGGGATTATTTTTTGATAGCGCGCTTTCAAAATGTATAAATTTGATTCAAATGAGTTTGTTCAAGCCATATGCATGTTATTATTATTTCACCCCGTTTCTGTAGGCAAAGGGCGTCCACAGAGAGTTTGTAAGGTGAAAACGTAAAAACGAAAAAGTGTATCGAAAATTATGCGAATTATTTGAAATAAAAATATCTTCTGAAAAATGAACGACCTAATAACATTCAACCAATAAATTCGCGAACAAAATGATCCACTCCGAAGAATAAATACCGAAGCCGTGTAACGTTGACGGAGAATTTGTTTACCTTCCAAATTTTCAGACGGCAGCGAACATTAGACACGGGAAATAATAACGAGCCCTCGAAGCCCCAGCATCAGCACCCCATGACGCGCCATCACTAAGGCGACGGCGCATCAACGATGCGACCTATTACGGCGCGAGCAAATTGCTTCCCGTCGTAAAATCCGTTTGAGTGATTGATTAGCATGAAGTTAGACCGACTGGTTGACTCGCGGTTTCTTCAACACCGCCACTCCCCCCCTTTTCCACCCTTACCAGTGTACATAAACACGGACGAACGTAACGCGCATTCCCATAACGGTCGTCCGGGCAAGTATCGACATTATCGGCATCAAGCATCTCTATTAGTTGTGTCGTCCACGGCTCCGCTACATCCGTCAAATTAGAATCGGTCTTTATCCCTCTTTTTATCATTAACTCCGAGGAAAGCGCGTAGGAGGAATTACAGACGTCCCGAGACCGACGCGGGTAATAACAGTTCTTGCTGTGACAGCTGTTGCTGTATTGTACCTGGGTCCCGGTTAGAGCACGGTCACGTACTCTCGTCGTCTTTAGCGTGTGAAATGACAGTTCGATCGGAGTACAGAGAGTGTTCAGGGTAATGAGACACCCTGTTTCGTTTCGGAAAAAAAGAATAATCCTCTGTACGTGGCTGTTTACAGTCTCGTTGAAAAATTCTTCACTAAGAAATCACCTGTAGATACTACAACCTTGGCCAAAATTATTACTCTATAGTACATTTGGGAAAATCGTGATAACACAAACAATTCAGAAAATCGTATTCCTTTCTCCTCTGAAACCCTCCTACTTTTTAGGGGTTTGAACATTTTTCCCGCCATTTTCTTGGTCCTTGGAACCGTCAAAATGGGAGATCCTTATTTTCTACTCGAATGTTATTCGAATATGCTAAATTCAAATAAAATAGAAGGGAGCAAGGAACACTGAACACGGCTAGCAAAGGATGACGAACAATAGAAAGGTTTCAGAAGAAATAGTTATTACTCGATACTTTTGGCTAAGGCTATATGTGTTCACATCGGGCGCCATCAACGATAAAAGATAACCATTAGTCTGGAACTTACCTTGCCGGTGGTAGCCGACTTGTAGAGCGGGCCCATGATGACATGATCGGTGGGGCAACCATCCGAGTCAATTAAGACTATCTCGCTGGAGTCCACGCCGTCCATAGCCACCAACTCGCGTACGAAGATCTCGTACGGGCTGTTAGGGTCGAGGATCTCGAACTTCAGTGCCAACGGATCACCGACTTCAGCTGATGGGATGGCTTCGTTTCCACTACGGTCGGTGATCTTCATGGCGACGTTGGGCGAATCGACGATCACCTCCTCGGACAGGGCAGGCGTTATGTCACCGTGTACACCGAGATCGACTTCGTTCGACACCGTTTTGTTGGTCAGATCGTATTGACAGGTGACGGCGAGGCCGAGATCGGAACTGGTGACAATTGTGTCGTGGTGCTGGATCACAACGTCGTTCAAGTAACGGCCAAGACCCTGTTGTCTGATGTTGCACTCCAAGTCGTCGTAGGCCATTCGGAGCTCAAACTCCAGGGCGCCTTTTACGTCCTGCACGCATGAATTTGGCGATCCTTTCACGTACACCTTGCCGTAGAACAATTTGCTCGTTTGGATTCTTGTCACCATGTCACCGGCACGACAGTCGATCGTAACGTTGTAGCAAGAGCTCAGCTCGTACGTCGATCCCTCCGGCACGTCCAGATACGGTTCCTGAAGTCAACAAAGAATTTCGTCCCCTGTGCAATGCATTTCTTGTATCGTGTTTTTTTTTCACCTATCGTTACTTTTTCGTGACCGGTGGAACGCGTGTGTCCCTCTTGAGTACTCAATTTAGTATCTTTTACAGATAAAACGATTGGTAAGTAAATAAGAAATTTTAAAAGATAATTCGGTCCTGAAAGGGTTAAAGAGATACCATTTGGACAATTTTACGAGTGTCACATTTATTAACGAGTACTGCGAATTGTTTATTTATATGTGAAATTTTTTAATACAACGTGGAAGTCAGGAAATATGAATGCGATTGTGCAAAAATAGCGTTTCGAGAGTAAATTTTGAAGTATTTAAATTAAATAACAATATGGATCAGAATGGATATGCGTGGATATATGGGGTGAGTCAATATGCACTGCCACCTGAAATAACTCGGTATTTATTGATTTTATCAAAAACTGTTTTTTATGAAATACATTGTATTTGATGGAGCTCGTCAAATGGATGCGTTCTGATTTTTTTCTTTTTGAAGTTTTTTGAGGTGTCAAGATTATTTCCATTCTTTTTTCAATGGCACGCTATATATTGATATATTTTTTATATCGTCAAGATTTGAAAATTTTGTAACATTGTATCTACCAGTATTTCTTAGTTTTACTTCAGGTGGCAGTTCCTATCGACTCACCCTGTATCGAATTATATCCGCGTCATATCTCAGTTTCGTGTCGAAGAAAATGACTGCAATTGACACTTGCAGAAGGTACTGTATTTTAAACCTGGTAATATTTTACCTGATCATATTAATTCGACAATACGCCTTGCTAAAACGATAATTTACGTTGATCGGATAATAACAATTTGCATATTCAGACTACAATTACGCACCAGTGTTATCATTATCTGCTATTTACAGAACTCAAACTGTCGTGAATGTTCATTCTTGTTTATTGTTTTATTTGTTAACGAATTACTGGACGCATAAACTCAGAACAGGTCGTTCATTATCGAGACTGTGGCATTAACTTTGAGATATTGCACGTTTATGCGATCACATTAGAACCCTATTCCAAGGATGTACTTATCATTTCTAACAAAAGTTCCCAGATTGCAAGAACGTTTAATTTACGCGCTAATAGTTTTTTGTTTAATTTTAAACGTTTCGGACATTTAATGCTAATTTATGAAAGTACCATGCCTTCCATTCCGCTGTAATAAATTATTAAGGGGATATATCATCCTGAGGCGCCTAAAACTGAGGTAAAGTTTGAGAATTTTTTTAACAGGTAAGTACTGACTGAAAAATTTCAATTTTTTCAGAGGATATGAATGTCACTTTCTGCTTTCCTCTTCAATTTTTAAAAAGTAACTTTTTCCAATTTTTTCGATATCTCGGTTACTTAATTTTTTAGAAACGTTCAAAGTTGACTTTCTTTGGTAAAAAGAAGTTTTTCCTCTTCAAACTGCCACCATTTCTACATGTAATAATTTTAATTTTTGAAAAATCTCACGTATTATATAGTAGGCAATAATTTTTTATTTAGACGTTCCAATCCCTGCCACCGATGTAATCGATGATCTAGCAGAATAAGCTTCGCAATAACTCCTGCATCTTTAACACGTTGACTTTGCAAAAATTAGAGAAGAAAGCTGCATTTACTTCCTCCAAACAAAATTGGAACTTCTCACTAAGTATTTCCCTACGAAAAAAATTCCCAAGCTTCAACCTATCTTCGAACGCCTCGGGGGTGGTTTACCCCCATAACCTCCAAGTGCGTGAACTTCTCTTCCACGCTGCACATCCTTCGAATCCGCAAGCATTCTCGAAACACATCTTCCAAACTAATACCTCGCGAAACATCATCTACGTATCTATCGAAACGAGAAAGAAGGGCGATTCAGTTTTTCCTATCGTTTTTCTCCGTTGCTTGAAAACGGAGGAAGAAAGAGAGAAAAAAAAGAACCTCTCGTAGATCAAACCGAAATAGAATAGAAAAGCGAAGAGAACCGTGACGCGAGTATGATATGTAAAAAGTACCAGTGATTCAGTTCGACGTGGAACGCTAGCGGAAATAGAGTGAGCCGATTCTTCAACAGGTTGGCGAGAAGAAAAGTCTTTGTCTTGACTTTCTCGGGGCCGTGAGGTACCGTTCTCTCTCGTATGCACAAACTGAAGAGCCACCCACAGGCTCGATAGAGCAAGCATCTGCGATGGAAACTCGATTTTCCACGAATGCGCTCTCGGCGAATTGTTCGACCTGGTTTGCACGTGTGCAATGTAATCACGTTTACAGAAAATCCCTACCGGCCCTTTCAAGAGTACGTGGCATTGCGAAACGGGTGAAATGTGTGGTCTACGATTTCCAAGCGTATTCTATGCTGGAAATTGACGTCGAATTGTTTTACTTCGTGTGCCGAATGAATTAAAGTAAGTTCGCCCCCGACGAAATTTCACATTGCGAAACAACATGTTCCACCATTTCTGCCAAACGCCGCGGAATAACACTTTGTTAAACGCCCCTTCGCCGAACGAACGGTCAGTTGTTTCGTGAAAATCGAGCACAGCCGTGGGGCACCGTCTTTAAGTTTATTCTTTTGGCCCATTCTTAGCGAGCAGAGGAAAAATGATATTGATTAGAATACGTCACAAGTCGCGTATTTATTTAAATTTTGAGAGAATTTTAAAGGCATAATTACAGAAAAATTATTGGCAAACTTTCAATTTTTAATTTTTGAAGAGTATTCTAGAAATTAACACTTCTTCTTCCACGAGAGACTTCCTTATTTCGTTGTCGTACAAGTTTGCCAAAGTTTTTCTTCATCTACGACCTATTCTGCGGGAGCTACATAGTTCGTATCGAATATCACGAAAAAGCGTTTATCGAATGCGCGCATACTTAGCATATTTTCGAAGTCAATTTTCCCGAGAGGAAAGTTTCGTGCATGGCGAAATTTACCGGACGATACTGACGTATTTTCAATCGAAATACCACCTTGTTTGCGTTTGTATGATGACAAATACAGTATCTACTGACGATTTTATCATCAATAATTAACCCTTCCAGGTAGAAGATTTAAATATCCGGCCAGATCGTTGTTAGTTGGCACATTACCTATCCGTGTTTGCCTCAAGTTTAGAATTTTCTTATCAGAAAACTACTAAAATTGGACGATAAAGTAGACGACAATTCTGGTTACTGACATAAGGGTTAAGCAAACAATTCGAATTCGACGCAATTTCTCACCTGAATGTCAGACAAAGTGGCTCTGGAGTGATGACTGAGACGGCAGACCATGTCACCGGTATCGCCATAATCGTAAGAATGGCAACGGAATGGAGAATTCAGGCAAAGCTCTCGGCACTCTTCAGCGCTGCCAACATCTTGATAGACAGAATCCACGGTCTTCAAGATGCGACCGGACAATTTTTTGAATTCGCAAAGCTTCACAGGCTCGTCCACGCAATGATTTTCGAGATAATCGAAGCTCTTCGCAGCTTGGAACGCGTTCGATCCTGCGACGGTTAGGCGATCCATGTCCGAAAGTTCGCATTGTTTCGTCGTGTTTGCGTAGTTTGCAGATCTGAAACAAAAATTGAATTCTCGGTAAAGATTTTTGCTGTTTAATCGAAGGAGAAGTGATTACGTTCGAAAGGAAATAGGTTTCGGGGTATAGTTAATCGAACAAAATGTGTCTACAGTTGTTTTTTGTGGTTCGAGAAGATCCGCTTTGTAAATGGGCAAATATAAAAAAGAATTAATTCAACGATAGGCTCAATTAAGTGAATTTTTGTTAAACGAAAGAATTATTGAAAACGTTTGTTTTTCAAATAAAACAGATATTTCAATGCAAGCACGGAATTTATTACACATTGATTACAATAGAGATTGCACTGTACATTGTTGCTTCAACAGCGTTAAATACGGGAAAAAAGAGGGAAAATTTTGAAAAATATTGTTTTGGTCGCTGTGGTAGCATTGTTCTCTTGTTGACACCCCTCGTATACAATTACGGCATTCAAATCAGAATCACTGATCCGATGAAAGATAAAAAATGTGAAGTGTATTCGTTCGTATCGTGCCGGTCTAGCGAAATTCAGGTAAAAATGTTTGAAAATATACAGTGTGGCCCACGTGAAACAGTCTACATAATTATCTTCTCTAGCTACGAGACAATTTTTATACTTAATTTAAACAGTTTTAAAGGGTGAATAAGATGGAAGGATAATTTTTTTACAAATACCATTTTTTCCTGTTTTTTTTTCTTCACACGAATGTATACATTTCTTTCTACTCTATGCTGCAGCAGACACTGATGTGCATAAACATGCATAATAATTTCGAAACTTCCTTTCATTTTCTGCCATTTCTTCCACCTTATTCACCCTTTGAACTCATTTAAATTACTATAAAAATTTCCTCGTACCCCTGTAGCTGAAGAAGATAATTAAATGGCCAGTTTCACGTGGCCCACCCTGTATATCGAAGGAAAAAATATTCGACCATGGTATTATCGAACTCAGCCTATTAATTCAAACTGATCAATTCACTTACTTCAAATATTTAAAAAAATCTATTTCACACGGCTCACCCTGTATATATCACGTTATATAACTCTGTCGACAGGTTATTATTTCAATGTATATTAACCACTCCAACAAAAGTATCTTTGATTACCATTCGATGACCACGTTCTACTAAACTATCAACTAAATTAACCTGTTGCACGATATCTGTACAAAATGGCCAAAATCCTTCTACTAAAATTCTGGGCGGTTACCGCTGTAACTATTGTCACGATGAACAGTGAGTAACAGAGAAAGCGAAACTCCGGATTTCGGTTGCACAATGTGCGAAATGTATTAAGTTTCGGCGAGTAGTCCATAAAGGGAGAATCACTCGAAATATAGGACAGTAGAAATGGTAACGAAAGCTGGGTAATGCATTTTCGCAAAACTGCAAGCTTCACGGTTGCCAAATATCGCCGTACCGCAAATTACACTTTGTTCCTCGAGAGCATTTAGCGTATTTATCGCCAACGCTCTTACCGTGATCGTCGGGAATTCCTTGGGCAAGTTTATTAGAAAACTACGACTCGATGTTAAACATTTCTTTCGACTGTGAGGAACCGTTGATCTGAAAGCAGCTGAAACTGTTCTTCCACCGCGTTTAATCAACAAGAAACCTGTCTTTAATGGCGTGAAACAGAAATATTGCATTTAGAAGTGTTCGCTCTCTGAGCATGTCACGATGAAATATACGAGTGTATTAAGAGGTTTTTCCTTTTATTTTTCGAGCCAGACTGGCGCCGTTCGTTCAAGCAATTATTGTATGCTACCGGAGTTGATTACTTCCTAATACTGCACAGTCAACCTGCGAAAACACTAATTTAGTGACGTTTACAGAGGAGTCAATTGAACAGGTTCCCATCTCTTTATCGCTTTTTGCTCCGCCTTCGTTAATGCCTCTATACAACAAATGTAATACACAGACGTCCTGCGAGGAGATAGGGAACTTCTCGTCGTTGTTTCTTAATTTTTCTTTCGTTTTTTCCTATTTTCTTTTTTTTTCATCTATTCCGGCCGCAAATCAAGCATCGCGAAGTTTTACGCGCTTCGATGTACCGGGTGATTGAAATATTCATAGCTCATTCCGGCTGGGAACTATGTATACGAATGGCGAAAGGAACGAGTAATACCAGTTTTTGAAGGATGCAATCGTTATCGCAAGAACGTCGATCTCTTTTTTAATAGCTTCGATTCGTATGAATAAATGGTTAAATTATTGTTAAGATAGGTCTTTCGAGTTGATCAAAATTTACTTTCTTATTTGGAAGGTATGAATTCTTTATGAATGTAGCTGTTAACCTTTTTAATATTTTAAAATTTAATTTTAATGTTTTGCTATTTTATAAAAACAGTGTGTTTGTAATGTTACAGAAAAAATTAGGATCATTTTTTAATGGGAATAGCTTATCACCTGTTGTCAATTAAAGTTATTCAAACAAAAGAGTGGTCTGTAATTAAAGGATTAAATTATATACATTTCTTCCTTTTATTACTCGCTGTATAACGAAATTCCTTAGGTTCGTTTTACATTCAGTAAGTGTCCTAATACTTATGAATGAGACTGTGTATGCATGGAATTTGCTACTAAATATAAATTATTCAGAACTTTAACAGAAACTTTCCTAGTAAAATTAATCAGCATCAGATTTCCGTGGTTTTAATAAAACGCTATTTATTGCTACAGTTATAACTGATTTTACTTCTCTTAAATAGCATTGTTACAACGTTGATATCGATCGGTATATCCCTGTAAATTTATCTTCAATTCGGTAGAAAAATGTTGTCATCGTTATGCAAATATTTATCACGAAGCACTGTGAAATGTGCATAAATATAGATCGCGAGCGTTACGATATCACACAGCGAATATTTGCATTTCGATTGATCTATA